AAAAGTGATGCCTGAACCTGGGGGCAGAGTTCTCAAAACGCGGCCCTTTTTTAGGTCTGAAGCCAGGATTTGTCAAAGTACCTGACTTGTGTTTTACAAACTTCGGCAAAATAGTCAGGTAGTGTCCGCGTCATCAGACCCAACGAAGAGTATAGTTTGCGCAGGAGTCGCGTTCACTGGTTTGTCTGGTTTGCCGGGGCGAATCCGATGCCAGTGTCCCTGTCTTTGCTGGTAACACTTCCAGTAGCTCAGTTAATCGTAAATAACCGCCTCATCATGGTCCAAGCACGGGCATTATTTAGAATGCCTGGTGGCTGTTTCACCTAGTTTGACAGCTGTGAACATTAGTGAAGAAGAAGAGTCGAGCACCGGAACACTTCGTTTATTGTCCTGAGTTTTCAGACTCGTGCAGGAGTCCATCGTCATAGGTAGTGGCAGAAACAGGACAAGTGGCAGTTATAAGGCACGTAGACCCAATCATCGACCGACGTCGCACGACTGGAGGTGACTACGAAGGGCTCTGTACGCTGGCGCCAGATCGATAAATCGATTGACCGAGTTCTCATCCGAGGCCCAGGCTTCAATCAATTCTCGGCCTGTTTTGTTTCCGGCGTGGGCGACTATTTTGGTGGCTGCGAAGTTAAATTCGTGACCCATTTCGTAGGCGTGGACGGCCAATTGTGATAACACATCGCCTCGCCGCACAGCCAGCTTATGTGCGTGTATGCGCGATCCGAGCATACGTCCAGTCTGTCCTGTGTAGTTACAAGGACAATTTTGACACAGAATGCGATACACTACTCCAGATTGCTCTTCAAGTTTTAATCGGTCTTTGATTTTCATGACCCTGTTGCGCATGGTGGCTTTGGGGCGGTGTGCAATTCCAACACCTAGCTCCGCAGCAATGCGCTCGCTCGCTTCTGAAACACCCTTGATGTATGGCAAAGAATGCCATATCGTCGGTGGCGTTGATGTTCGCGTTCTCTGGTGGCGACCGCGTAGGCAGCGACTTATGAATGCCCTCTGATAGCCATTTTGCACAAACCGGTCGCGGAGATAACGGGCCTCACGTGCTCTGTCCTCCGGTTTGCTGCAATGAGTTTGGATCTGTTTGAAGAGCGTCTTCACACAGTTTCGTTTGTGAGCCACCGGATGGTTGCTGTGAAAACTGAGAAGCTGTGTGGTGTTCGTTGCCTTCCTATAAACCGTCGTTTCAAGTTCACCGTTAAGGTCTCGTTTGACGAGCACATCCCGGAAGGGCAACTGCTGTTCCTGTTCTTCTTCCCTCGTGAATTTTATATCAGGGAAGACTGCGTTGAGCAGGCTGTGGAAATGTTGCAGCATGCCCTTCTTTACTATGACGAACGTGTCGTCTACGTAACGGCGCCAAAACACCGGTTCATGTTGGAGGAAGGCAATCTTTTCTAACTCCTGTAGGACCAGTTCTGCCACCAAACCGGAGACCGGTGATTTGTTCATAGGTCTCTCCCGCAAAAGTGAAGAAAGTTTGTTGACAGAATTCAAACAGCCTCGTGGGGTGTTCAATTTTGAGGGCATTCTGAGTCTCATCGTACGTCTCTTTAAGTCTCTTGCGCAAGACTTCGCGGGCCATGTTTGGTAGGATGGATGTGAATAACGACGTCACATCGAAGGAGACCATGATTTCGTCCGATTGAATTCTCCGACCTCGGAGAATTGAGAGGCTGATCGAACCGAGGTAGTCGAATTGCCTTGGAGGAACTTTGCTTAGTTGTAGGTGAGGCTGCCTTTTAGGGCAACGATTGGCCGAAGTGGGACATTTGCTTTATGGATTTTTGGCAGACCATAGAATCGAGCTAGAGTGGTGTCAGTTGCCCTCATTTGGTGCCATTCATTCTCCGTGATCACATTTTAGGTCGGTATTTTCTAAGCAGTTTACTCAGCCGATCTGCCACTGCTTGGGCTTGTGACTTCTGTGCTGGTCTGTAGAATTCTCAGTCATCAAGAAGGGCTTCGCTTTTTTCATTATAGTCTTCTCTATTCATCACGACGGTTGATCGTCCCTTGTCAGCAGGTAGAATGATAATGCTGTCGTCCCTCCTCAGTTCCATCATAGCCTTTGACTCACTCTGCGAAATACATTTGGTTGGTCTGTGTGTCATTAGCAAGGAGGTAGCACGCTGTCGGACGGAGTGTTTCATGTCGTCAGATGTTTCACTTCTCACAAACATAGCTTCCAGGGCTGCAATGAAGTCGACAGGATCGGCATCTGGAGTGTTGAAACAAGTTTCATGCTGTAACACTCGTAGTTACTGCTCTGTTAGCTGCTTTGACGAGAGGCTGTGGACCAAGTTGAAGCTTTCTGTGCCTGGTGGTTTTAACTGTGAACATTGCATATTTACTCCGCCGAAATTAATAGCATTCAGATCTTTGCCTAAATGTCAAGATCGGACCTAAAAGGTCGTGTACCTTACGTTCTTCGAGAATACACTAAGTATTCAGTTGACGGATTACTCTCTAACACGAAATGATGATACCGTTTCACCCATAGGGCTTTGATTTGCGCAGCACGGTTAATCGCTAAGCAAGAGAGTCTGACTTTTTCTCGCCGGTCTATGAGGAGCAGGATATATTGTCCGTTAATCTTAGACGTCGTTTTTGAAACACTTGTATGGACTAGCATCATCCCCCCCTCGGTCGACATCTCCATATTTCACCGTCGACTGTTCAATTTTTGTCTTTGTCATTTCAGATCGTTGCTCAGATCGAAGAAACCGAAATGCTGCGAAAGGTGACGGCATGACGATATCTTCCACCTACCCGACTTATTCTAGACTGTGTTGCCTCAAGATTTGCTTTCTACCAAATTTTCAATACATACAACTCTATATACTTCTTTTACATTGCACTTGATGTTTTTCGTACCATTAGCAGCATTCATACAATAATCGTGTCGATACTCGCGCAGATTTCTCTGGCCGTGCCAGCCTTAAGGTACTGGGAAAGACGGGGTTGTCCATAGGGGGGTTGGTAACCATCTCGCCGTCGCTAGCATGCGCTCACTTCGTAATAGCCCTGAACGGTTCGTCGTCACTGGCATGACCGGTTGCCTGGCGCGACATATCCCAGACGTTTTCCCACACCCCACCCCTCCTAACAAGCAGGCATCAACTACTGCCCCCTTCTCACTGGGCCTTGGACTGCTGTCTCCCCGCCCCCCTGCTGTCCCATCACAATCGGCTCTCTCATTTTACGATCACTTTCTTACCAAGGCGTGTATTCTGGTAGAGGTCCGGTCCTGATTATTTACAGTCGTATATCAGTGTGGCGGAGGAGGAGATGTGTCCCTTTCTCTTGGCAGTGTGTCCGATGCGGTCACTTGGATGTGTCGTGTGATTATTCGGACTCCTCCTAGGCGGTTGAGCAATTTGGAAGCAGTTTATGGTGCTCCGTCACTTGAAGGGCTAGTTCGCGATGGTCGCCCTCACGTTGGCTTCGTGGAAATTTGTTTAATAGGGTTTGTGAGGCAGCTGGTGCTTCCCATAGGGTCGTACAGTCCGGAAAACCAGCCCATATGGCAAAACTCAAGCGGAAGTCACATGGTAGTTTGCAGAGTGGACGGCGCTGGCCCTGGCTTGCTCGCTCTGCGTAGGTATTCGAGATGACCGTGGGAGGCACTGGTGGGCTTCCTCAGGTCCCAGGCGGACCTTTGTTCCGCGGGTCGTGCAAGTTCCGGGCGGGATGCCGTCGCGGCGCCCACCTACGGGCTCTTTCGGGAGTGACTGGACTCTGTTGGGGTAGGCATCGTGAAAGGGCGCAAAGCGATGCCGAGGCACCACGAGCACGCTCGTTCTACCCCTCGCGCGCGTCGCTGATCACAATTTCATGGTTATTCCCACAGTACCTAAAGTTGATGGCAATGGATTCTCGCTGTCCGAGTGGGATTTGTCTCCCCCAGTGGGAGTAGTCCGGATGTGGAAGGTACGCTGATGCTCTCACTGTACTCACCCGGATGCCAAGAGATGCCGGACGTCTGTAGTGGCCCGTGTCTAAGTGTAACGGGTAGAACTGGGTCCCATGCTACACTACCTAATTTTAAATTATATAGCTAGGAATCTCCCCCAGCAGCGGCTTGTAGATATGGCGATTCCCGAAATAGGAGCGGACAGTCTAGGTTATGTCTGAAGAGCCCGGAGTTCGGACAAGGACTCGTCATTGAGCACTGAAGTAAACGCTTTACTACTTAAGCCACTGTCCCGCCGACTTTACCGAGCGCTGATTCGGGCGTAAGTGGCCTTCAACGATCTGTCCACATCCTGCGCCAAGGCAAAAATAGAACGTGAAACACGGGGATACGAATCGCCCTGTGCTGTAGGCTGCTTTCGCGCTACACCTGTGGACCGTCTATTCCCTGTTCTAACTTAAGCCCTAGCCCTTCCATTCCTAACCCCCTATCCCCCCCCCTCTAGAATTCAGTGCGGACTGTCTGTAGTCAACAGGTCCGGTAGCGTATATAGACCACTGAATGCCCTCCGCCTCCTAAGTTGCCGTTTGTAGTCACGTGGAAGCGGCGCTCTCCGATGCATCCTGGTCGCAGAGCTGAAGTCTGTATTTCTATCCTGCCTCGCAATCTGTCGGGAGCGATTAATTGTGGAACTACAGTGGGTGACCAATCTCATGAAGTGGTGGCCGAAATTCTGAGATGCGTTTTCGATTTGGAAGGATTACTTAGGTGGGGTTGTAATATTAACTATCATGCGGCATAACCCTATAAGGTTTCGGACTCGTCAGGATGTCAGCTTTTGAATGCACTTCTTTTCGACCTGCAGAAATCGCACTCGGTAAGAAATGACTGCCTAAGTAGCATGCATTTTTCACACCGATTTCCGGTGGTCTTATAAATTCAAACATATTTTGTAGAAAACATGCACAAAAATATGCTTTCTTTTACTAGTTTGGTAGATAATCGAGTTATCTTCACATTTTATACCCAAAGAAAGGGTATATTGAGATTTTGAAGAAATTTCCTCATTCTCGAATGATTTTGAGCCTGACCAGCCGTTGCATTAGCGTTTAGCGATTTCAGTCTACAAGGTGCATGCTTTCAGCGTAAGCGAAATCTTAAAAAAGATCTTTAAAAATATACCATATGGAGTTCCTTAAATAGTGCAATAGATGCGGACAATGTTGTACATTTCATGAGAAGCATCGGCAAACGGACGGGTACGATGTTTTATGAATGGACATTGCACGGTCTTAAAAAATCTCATAATTTGAAACTTTTTCAAAACCTAAATATGCGCTTTCTTCAAGTATAAAATGTAAAGATAACATGATCCTCTACCAAACGAGTGAAAGAAAGCACGTTTTTGTGCATGTTTTCTATAAAATACATTTGGATTTATAAGACCATCGAAAATCAGGGTGAAAAATGCATGCTATCTAGGGAGTCACTTCTTACCGAGTGCGGTTTCTACAGGTCGAAAAGAAATGCATTCAAAAGCTGACGTCCCGACGAGTCCGAAACCTCATAGGATTATGCCCTACCTAAGTAAGCCTTCCTAGCCGAAAACACATTTCAAAATTTTGGCCCATATTTCATGAGATCGGTCACTCACTGTACGAGCATGTAACTGAATGCTTCCAGTCGCCACCGACAAAGACGCGGGCCCTTGGGTTAGGTGGCGGAGCGTTTGGCCTACGATCAGCCGACTAGGGTACGGATCTTCGATGACTAGCTGGCGTTAGGAGTTCGTCTGTCTGCTGACGGAAAACAAGTCGGAAATAGCCATTCCAGTCATTCGCGTCTCAGTCAAAAGCGCTTTGCTATGAAACTGAAAAACTTCATAGACTTCAAAGACAATTTGGCGAGCATGCGTAAACTTTTGATAAATTCTCATCAGGCCTATACATTTATTTTGCTATCGAAATGATTAAAATGAAAGTGCGGACAAGCGGAAGTTATTCTGTAGCTGGGGTTTGGGGCGAGGGTCTGGGTAGGTGAGATGAAAAACAAAATTGCCAGCCCAGACCACTGCTATGTGTATTTACTCCTTCACCTGCTCCTGTGGAGCAGAATATATTGGTCGCACGAGCCGGCGTTTGTTCAAAAGAATAAGAGAACACTTTCCAGCATGGTTAGGAAAGGACCAAATAAAGAACGTCAACAGCCCTATCCTCGCCCACATGGTAGACACAGATCACTGTGTAGATGCCGGACAGGCATTCCGAGAGATTTACAAGGTCCCGTCAAACTATCCAAAATCACTTGGACAGCGTCTGTTGGCAACTGCAGAGGCGGCTGCAATCAAGCTATGCAAACTAGCTCTATGCGCTCAAAAGAATTTCGTGCAGGCCCTACAATTACCATGGGCCAAAGCCATCATGCCAACCACCTGCGTATAGTCACCCGTCCCAATGCCCATCATCCCATTCTCCCCCGACACTGACGGTAATTTTGTTTTTCACCTCATCCCTCACCCCCCCCCCCCAAACCCCAA